TTATTTTAGTATATTTTGTACATTTGGGGGATAATTTACATATGTCCAAAGCATTATACACATTGACAAATTACTTTTAAGTGATGCCTAGTGAGCCAGAGAGTAAATTGTCAGTGTGCATATGCGTGTCCCCATGTCCACACCACAAGCACACACTGATGGAGTGCGTGGGTCTGTGCATGCACACAGAGCACTGGTCTACCTATCCACTCAACTTAAGTCACAATTCAGAGGTTCCTTCCGGGCAGTGTGTTCGTGGAAAGGCCACTGATTTTTGATGATGTAAGAGCCTCCTTCAGATTGAGGGTTAAAAAACACACACACACAAAGAGCACTGAGTCCAAACTCCAGGCCCGACCTGCTGACTGGCCAATGGCTGCTTCCTCTTTGCCATCGTTTGCCAACAGCCGAAGCCCAAGCCTTTGGTAGCCAATGAGACTCAAGACGACACTCTCTAATCATCACAACCAAAAGGGTCATGTTGGACTATGGAGAACGGGAACGACCTTCTCTCTTCAAGCAACTCGGAAACAAGATAAAATAGACCAACAGTGGATGTCAGTCGAGGTACCCAGGCGTGCAGGACAGGGCACCCCAGAGGAAGAACGGAGACAGGTCCTTCGCACAGTGTCCTGATCACTGCTGGGGACGCTCCTCTGCAAAAGGGAGGAGTTTGCAGATGTAAGGAGCAGAGCTCCAAGAAGTAGGGCATGGAGCCCTGGGGAGAGAGGAGGAGGGGGTGAGGGAGGAGGAGACAGGGAAGGAAAGGGGGACAGAGAATTAGAGTGGTCCAGGGGGCCTCAGGACTTCAGAGAACACATCTGTGCATCACACTAGGACACCACCAAGGGCAGGAACAGAACTCCTTAGAAACAGGATCCCCAGAGCACCTCACGAACAGAAATCCTGGGGGTCACTATATGCAGGGTAAAAGCCATGGGAGAAGTTTCAGCCAAAATTAAGCACAAAGAGTAAGAAGATGGATCAAGAAAAAGCAGATCATCCGGGAGTTGAAGACTCACCAGGAACACAGCTATGGGCCAAATTGGAGCAGTCCCCCTGAGCACAGCTGTGGTCCAGCATGGAGCAGTCCCCCTGAGCACAGCTGTGGTCCACCATGGAGCCGACCCCATGAGCACAGCTGTGGTCCACCATGGAGCAGACCCCCTGAGCACAGCTGTAGTCCTCCATGGAGCAGTCCCCATGAGCACAGCTGTAGTCCTCCATGGAGCCGTCCCCATGAGCACAGCTGTAGTCCTCCATGGAGCCGTCCCCATGAGTACAGCTGTGGTCCACCATAAAGCGGTCCCCTTGAGCACAGCTGTGGTCCACCATGGAGCCGTCCCCATGAGCACAGCTGTGGTCCACCATGGAGCCGTCCCCATGAGCACAGCTATAGTCCACCATGGAGCCATCCCCCTGAGCACAGCTGTGGTCCACCATGGAGCCATCCCCCTGAGCACAGCTGTGGTCCACCATGAAGCGGTCCCCCTGAGCACAGCTGTGGCCCAGCATGGAGCCGTCCCCATGAGCACAGCTGTGGCCCAGCATGTAGCGGTCCCCATGAGCACAGCTGTGGCCCAGCATGGAGCTGTCCCCCTGAGCACAGCTGTGGTCCACCATGGAGCCGTCCCCCTGAGCACAGCTGTGGTCCACCATGGAGCCGTCCCCATGAGCACAGCTGTGGCTCACATGGAGCAGTCCTGGTGCACACAGCTTGAGTCTACCATAAAGTATTCCCCATGTACACAGCTGGAGCCCATTAATGAACAGTCTAATGGAAACATAGGTGGAATCTAGAAAAGCCAATTGGAAAACATTGAGCTTATGTATTTGAAGAAATAATGTTCAAGAGTTTCAAAATTTAGTACAGATAGTAAAGTCACAGACCCCAAATCTAAACCCTGAGCATGAGCCGAGTCCTGTGAGACACACTGGGAGGCCGACACCAGGAAGGGGCGGAGTTCAGAGGATGCAGGGCTAGAATGACAGCAGAGTGCTCATGGAGACGGCAGCTCCAGCTGGCAGGTGCAGGACCTGGCTTCAGTTAAAAGGAGGAGGGTGTCCACTCAGTAGTGCTGTCCAATCCAGGGGGTCACTGAAAATGAAGACAAGAAACTAAGGCCACTACAGTCCAAAGACCCGAGGATCACAAGGACTGTTAAAGGGAAACCCTCAGATGGGCACAAAGCGAGATGAAATCTCAGGGAAGACCAAGGAGTGGGGAGGTGGCATTTGATAAAGGGGCATTTAATCTCTTCAAAAGCTGTTTAATACAATAATAGTGGGCACTCCGAATTCCCAACATTTGTAAAGGAAATGTCAGCCCTGTGGCACTGTCCTAATGTACATGCTGTGCTGTGACACCACGGGGCTGGGGATGTGGCTCAAGCGGTAGCGCGCTCGCCTGGTATGCGTGCGGCCCGGGTTCGATCCTCAGCACCACATACCAACAAAGATGTTGTGTCCGCCGAGAACTAAAAAATAAATATTAAAAAAAAAATTCTCTCTCTCTCTCTCTCTCTCTCCCCCCCCTCACTCTGTCTTTAAAAAAAATTAAAAAAATAAAAATAAATAAAAATAAATGTGCACCACGGACCCTGGAGAAGACATGGGGAATAGGACATAGGACAGTTAGAAGACTAAACCGCATCACAAAATTGTTAATTAAAACAAAACCGGTCAGGGGAAGAAGGGAAGTGGCAGGTAGAATCGATGGGATCTTTTCACAGATGGTCCAGGAAGAAGCAGGAATCTAAGGGGGAAAATGAAACTCAAACTTGACCTTACCCTGTTCACAAAATTACATGAAGCTAAAACAAAGAGCTAAAACTATAAAACTTCTAGACATAAACAGAAGCGATTTGTCCTTACTCTGGCTTAGGCAAAGATTTCTTCAATGGCATACATAAAAGCACAAATTACAAAATAAGTTTGACCTAAACAAAATCTAAAACCTGTGTTTTTCAAAAGCCATTGTACAGAAAATCAAAAGCAAGTCAGAGACTTGAAAAATACACATCTAATAAAGGACTCATGTCCAGAATATATAAAGAATAATTAAAATTCAATATCAAGACGACAACTCGAGTTTTTGAAATGTGCAAAAGAATTGACCATAGAGTTCACCCAAGAAAATACGTGGGTGATAAATGAGCTTCTGGGGAAAATATGCAGCATCCTTTGCCATCAGGGAAATGCAGATTAAAAGCAGAACTCACATCACTGCACCCACCCCACAGGGTTAGGATAAGAAGTGCAGGCAAGGGTGCGGAGCAGGCAGAATCCCAGTCACCACTGGCGGCGATGGCCAGGCGACTCCTGGGGAAACACTTTGGCGGGTCCTTACAGTCACCTTCAGCAGGAGTCCGCAAATCTGCTCTTGTGACTTATCTGAAAAAGAAGAAAAAGGTGAGCCCGGCTAGGGCTCCACACCTGTGATCCCAGCTACTCCCAAGGCCGGGGCAGGAGAATGGCAAGTTCAAGAGCAGCCTCGGCATTTTATTGAGACTCTGTCTTAAAATAAAAAATAAAAATAAATGAGAGTTCTGGATGCGTTCTTCAGTAGTCGAGCAGCCCTGGGTTCACTCCCCCAGTACTACCCAAGGAGAGAGGGGTGGGGTTCAGGAAGCACAAACCCACACGAAGGCTCCCGGCAGCCCAGCTGGAAACAGTCCTGTCTAACTGCCCGTCAACCAGTGATCATTCAGAAGCAGGTGCCTCCGCACAGCTGAGTGGCCCTTGACAAGGAGAAGAAGCTGAGCTGCAGTCACGTCCCTCTTCCAGGAGGGACCTTCACACTCCTCTGCCCTGAGAGAAGGCAGGGGCAAGAGGGCTGCTCGATCCAACACAGCTCCTTAGAGCTGACCCCGGCAATGGCGCCAGACCTCCGGTGGCCAGGCCAGCGGGGAAGGGAGAGCCTGCCTGCAGAGGGCACAGAAGGGGACTGGGGGTCACCGACGCAGTCTATGCCCTCTTTTGGCGAAGGTTACTCGGCCGTGACTCCTTGTTGGGACTCAATGAATTATAGCCTAATGTGGTTGCAAATCACAATCCCCGTCCTCTACTTGACTGCGTGCCAAGGTCACGTGGTAGCTTTAGAGACAAAACGAATGCCAGGCCTGATTTAAAATTAATATCATTAAATGAGAGGGTCCTCAGCTGCTTCTAGTTAACAAGCAGGGTTGACACCCTCAGGGAGACAGACAGGCAGAGGCCAGCCAAGGGGCCAGGGAGACTGACCCCAGGACAGGGCACATTCTCCTCAGGGTAGTGGGGAGCCAAGAGTCTAAAACGAAAACAGGTGCATTGAAAGAAAACTCCTCTCCTCTCGGAAGAGAATGGGGAGGGGCAGGCTGCATTTGCAGAGATCTGATAACAGAAATTAAACAATCCAGGATAGAGATGGAGGGGTGGAAAGGCAGGGAGGGTGGGTGGCCTGAACTCCACTTGGAGGCAGGGCTGACAGCTTGCTGCCTGGCTGGGTACAGGACATCTCAGCAGCGGGAATTCTGGGGGTGAGTGGGCAGGACCCTCGAGCCTTTCCTTGCTTCCTTAGACAAGTGCCAGAAAAGGAGGTGGGGAGGGGCATCTGATTCTTGCAGACAAGGACTGGGGACACTCCCTACAGGCCAACTGTGGCCAGCGTCCAAACTTCACCCTCGTGGGCCGAGGAGACAACAGGCCACAGGCAAGCACAGGAGGGACCTTTGTTTTGAAATGTTAAAAAAAGAAGCCTTACACATTATGCCATTCGCCTCTTAAAACTGACCCTCTAGAAGCTCGCGGCTGACCGCCCTTCTCCGCCTGGTAATAGGCATCGGTGCAGAAGGGCGAGCCTGCTAGGTTCACGTCAGAGTCAGCTCTTCCACATGGAGCTGGTCAGAAATGGGGGGCTCTGTGTTGAGGGCCAACCTTCTCCACAGGTCAGGGGGACACTGTCATTGACAAGGACACAGGGAGATGTGTCCTTTATGAAGGCACAGGAGGGAGGGGCCAGCAGAGAGGGGTGTGTGGCCCCACAGGCTTGTCCTGTCTGTTTCGTCACCCCGGCCTCCCCCAGGTCCAGAGGCCTCTTCTCAGCTCCGTCCAGCCCTGGTGGACTTCTGTGCCAAGGGGACATGCAGAAGCAAGTAGACTGCCTGCTTTGCAGCAGAGACACCAGGAGAAATGTGACAGGCACATGCATCTCATGTTGATGTGGAGGGGAGGACCAGAGACCCTGTTTGCAGTGAGTGTCCACCTCTGAAACAAACCCCTGTCCTGCTGGCCCTACTGTCCATGTCACGTACTTGCTAACAGATCTCTTAATTTCAGTGGAGATCAGCCCCTCCCAATATCCCTCTCCTCACTTTAGAAAACAATGGAGCAGAGAGTCCTCCTTCCTGGCCGGGACCGCGGGTCACTGCAGCCCCCTGCTGAGCTGCCCTGGTGTGTGAGCCCCCAGGTCCTGCTACCCAGAAAAGGCTGGGAATCGTGCTTCAAAGGAAACCAGGAGGCAGATGTCATTAACAGAGTTTGCTGCATATTTGAAACCAGGAAGATGGTCAGGCCACCTGTCTTTCTCCTGCCAGCTCCTATTAAACCATCAAAGGCTTATTTGTGTCCCTTTGATGTGGGCTGCAAATGTATTTCCCGTGAATGATAGTAGATTAAATGTTATAAATGGACCCAAAAGGCATCACTGGGAAAGAACCAAGCTCTCATCTTGGGATCAACTGTATTTCCAGTTAAATACCAGCTCTCTATGGTGCTAGCTAAGGGGCATATATGGTTTTAAATGGACAACTGCTTCAAAGGGTAATTAGCAATAAAGTTACATCCATCACAATTAGAACACCAAGAACAAGAAAGAAAACCTATGCAACCTCCCAAGTGGCTTCCAGGGGACAGCCTCAGGAGCCACCACTGCAGCAGAGAATCCCGATACTGGTCTCAAGTAAGCCCCATCTGTGAGCCCTTGTTAGAACGTACACAGCTTTGTGGTGTGGGGAGGGGAGGGTAGAGCCGGGCATGGGTGGAGCTGTGGGGTCTGCTGCGAGATGGAGATGCCAGGGACACGTCCTGACATCTCAACACACTAGGGAGACAAAAACCAAAGTGAGGTCCGCCAGGAGATGAAAGGCCAAGGTCCCCTTGATGGGGCGAGAGTGCGAGGAGAACTGGGTTCCCCGTCGTTTCACCCTTGCGCTGCGCCAGGCATCCGACTAGGCAGCCACACGGGAGCGAAGAGGGGCAGGGGTTCCAGAACCCTCCAGGGCAGCAGAGAGAACCGAGTCCTACTCCGCCAGGGAGCAGAGTCTTTAATGAACAGACCAGGCAGTCCAAGGGCTCCCTGGAGGACCCTGGGTGTGCCCCCAAAGCAGACATGAGCAAACAGGCCACAGGGACACAGCCCCAGGAGGCAGGTGACACAGAACGCAGCCAGGAGAGGTGGCTGTGCACAAATGGCTCAGCATCATTCAAACACCCACTTGGGAGAGCAGAGGTCTCGCCCTCACACCCTGCCGTAAAGCCCACTAGACGAGTTTCCAACCCATCTGTGCATGGCAGCTGGCCTTGTAGAAGAAAGCTCGGAGCACCCTCGTTCCCCTGGGGTGGACAAATGCTCTCCAACAGGACACCAGAGGCACTAAGCGTGGAGGAAAGTGACTGATTAGTTACCCTTAAAATACACACAGGTGTCGTAGGCAGGTGTGAGGTAAGTGTGTGTGTGTGGGGGACACTTGCAGCAGTGTGTCCATGACGGCCTGTGATCCACTGTGCAGTGAAGAACCTGCCCCACCAATAAATAAGGAAATAGAGGATGCCACAGGCATTCTGCAAGGAGACCAATGGCCATCAGGCACCACATCCGTGGAAAGGTCATCAGCAGATTTAACAATGTTGGAAGTGCAAAGTCAACTCCCAAAGTGATGTCACTCCGTGGTCACCACAGTGGCTAAAATTGAAAAGACAGAAAACACCAAAGACAGGGGCCAAGGGTTCTCCTGGAGTGCTGGCAGGAGGTTATGCAGGGGATTTGGGAAATCTCTCTGGGAGCTTCTACTAAAGCTGGGCCTGCAGATGATCTGTGACCAAACAGTTCACCCCTTAGAGTGCAACCCAGCAGCATCGATGGTGAAAATATGTGCATTAAAAATATGCCCAGTCGCCCCGGGCACTCTTACTGTCAGTCCACGGCAGTGAGTACATTGGTGCTGTTGTTTAAGGGGTCTCAGGAAACAGGGAGGATATAAAACTTGTGACACACCCAACAACGTGGACAAAGTGTACAGACAGGCTGGCCAACAAGGAAAAGAAACGGCCCAGCATGGTAGAACGCAGGGTGGCGGGTGCTCTTGGGGGAGGATCACATCTGAGTGGGGGGCTCCAGGGCTTGAGCCTTACCCTCTTCTGGGTCTGGTGGCCTTACCTGTGAGGGCTGCCTTTGAGAAGCCCTTGATCTGAAGCCCTCTGCTCATGTGTTTCCTGTATGATGACGACATTGCAATAGGCATGTCTCCCAGCCCAGATCCCTGTCTGGGAATTTGTCCTACTGCTGTGGTCACAAGAAACAATGACTTAATGCAAAGTAGGTTTTCACTTTCTTCCTTTTTTAACAGCATAGTTTGCTGTCTCCAACACCATGAGGCTCTGCTCAGGTAAACAAGGGTGCATCTCTACAATGCAGAACTGTAAGCTGCAGGAAGAACCCGGAGCTCTGGGTGGTCAGTATGAACCAGTCTCCAGAGGTGAATGAACTGCAAAAAGCAAGTAGCAGAACAGTGGGCGCTGCATTCTCTCACCATCGCTGATGCAGAGGACCTAGCAACCTGCATGTTTCTGAAGAAAGCACTGAGCTGGTGATAATAGCCCCCGTCGGCAGACAAGATATTCTGGACCTAGCCAGCAGGGAGACCTACCTCTTCACACCTCTTGCTATTGTTTTCCGGCCCCACCTGGCTCCACATCGGAGGAGGCAAGAAAATCTCAATAGGATCCAAAGTTACTGTCAGTGGCCTGGCCCGGCCTTTCCACCTGCACCCATCAATCCAGGCAGAACTCATCAGCCACAGACATCAAGTGTGGGTGACATTCTGCAGCTCCAGTTGTGCAGCCGGAGTCCTCTGCAGAGCACCCAGTGTCACCATGGAGCAGGAAGGGGACAGGGCAGAGCAGCCTCACCCCCCGGGAAGGAGGGATGCAGTGGGGCCTGAGTGTGGGGCACAGGAATAACGAGTCACTTATGGATTAGCTATCCTCGAGCTCCTTAAAGCACCGCAGAGATCGATACAGCCTGGTCTGCGACTGTATCTGCAGAGGAAGGAGTGAGCGCGTGAGCACCTTCCGTCCTGCAGTCCTCTCTGGGCAGAGGCCTCTCATCTGTGTGGGAGGAAACGCATCCAGTTGCTTGGGTGGAGGGGAGCTGTCTTGGCAAGGCAGAGTCTTGTCCCAAGTCAGTCCAGTAATCAGGTTGAAAAACTTCAAGTAAACACAATACACAGTAGTTTATGATGTTTTTCATCTATTTTCCAAACTGAAGCTAAGCTAATCTGGAAGGGAACAGGAAATAAACTGAAGTGTAATGTGAACTACGGGCAAGCGCCCTTGCATGACTTGAAGGAGAATATGAGAAACGGTGTGAGTGAGGGACCAGGTATGGGTGGACAGAGACCCACTGCCTGCCTGTGTGCCCAGGGGAAGCAGGCTCTGAGCAGGGCAGCAGGAGCCACAACATGGTATGCAGGTAGCGCTCAGTACAGTTTGTTGAATCAGAATCCATGGGACTCCCAGGAAACCCTGCTACTCTGCAGTTCCAAGGATGTCACAAAGATTAGACGCCTTTGTGGAAGGACTGAAAACAGATCCAGTCTCAGGAGGCAGGAGTGTTTTTGGAGGTTATGCATGGTGCATGATTTATGTACGTTCCTGGAGCGTACCTAATGTGTGCATTGCACATAGTGTGCATGTAGACAAGTATAAAGGTGTAGCCTCAGATGTTACTTATGTTTGTGTACAGAATACGTATGTATGTGTGTGTGTGTGTGTGTGTGTGTGTGTGAATATTATTTGCTGCATTGTTCATAATAAAACATTGCAATGACCTGACAGAGCTTGGCTGAGCGCACTTTCCTCTGTGTTTCCAGGCTGCAGCGGGCAAGGCGGTTCTCACCAAGAGGTCAGCGCTGTTCACTGAGCTGCAGAGCTGTGACAGCTAACACCGTCCACGTTCAACACCTCGCACAGACTCTGCACTTCCAGGAGGATCTGGCCCTGCTGTGAATGCACACAGAAAGGTCTGGAAGGACACCGACCAACTCAGTGGCAATGGTGCAATGGGGGCCAGGTCTGGCTGAGCTGGTGAAGGGGAACTTTATTCTTTTTTTGTGATATTTGGTATTTTTAACAAAGAAAATAAACTCATGTAAAGCTTGTACTTTTTTGTGAAATGAATGAGACCATATGAAAATTATGTAGTTGTATTTAAGGTGAGCACTAAGCACACAGATAGAACACAGTGTTCAGGAGCCCGTGGGTCCAGAGCTGGACCCTCAGCTCTGCACGGCTCTATCCACGCTGTGGAGGAATCTGCTACTCTCTGGAGTGAGGCTCACTCACTCACTCACACATTCATTCTACAAACACGTTTTGGGCAGGGCAATATGGTAGGTGCTTGGAGGACACAAAGCTCCTCCAAGAGGGAAAGACATTCACAGGAAGTAGAATTGTAGCTGGCCATTGTCTGGGCCGCACCCTGTGCCCCCAAGACAGCATCGGTGGTGTCTTAGAAACTCCCATGTGCTGAGGCAGCATGAGAGAAGGAGAGAGAGAGAGAGACACACACACAGAGAGAGACACAGAGAGAACTCTCCCTGGGTATTGTCCATCAGAGCCTGTAGCACACATGGTTTGGGGTCAGAGAGAGTTACCAGGGAATGGGGGAACAGGAAAGAACGCCTATGTATGCCCCCCAGGGAGAGCCCACTGGCTAGGACACTGTCGACTCTCTGTGGAGGAGGAGGGCAACACAAGGAGACCTGGGATCCCAGTGAGGCGGTCACTGCACACTCTCCTGGAAACGGGGATGGCAGTGAGATTGATATAAACAGTCACAGGGCTACCAGAGGGCTGCCCACTGCCCGGTACCTGGACTCCAACCACCACACACGCTGGAAGCCGGGGACAGACCACATGAAGCATGGTGACTTCGTGGTCGACCAACAGCGCAGCTGAAGCTGGAGAAGGAGAAGCACCTATTCCATGTGACCCATAGGGCCAACGTGGGAGCCTGGGCTTCATCCCAGCCCCTGGCTCAAGATTCCATCCAAATCATGCTGTGCATCAACAAGAGGGCCCTCTATGGCTGGTCTCAAAGGAAGTGGCATCAGCAGTCTCTCAGGTGGCTTCTAAGGCCAAGGTCCTGGGCTCAGGCGACCACGATTCCCAGCTCGGAGAGGAACTGGGGACAAGCACAGACCTCCAGTACTGCTGTGAGAGAGAGGCTTGTGAAAAGCCGGTGGTGGCAGTTGGGCTCTGAGGGTTTTTCCTGAGAAGCTGTTTTGTTTGACGTGTGTGGTTCTAAAAATAAAGTTTGTTTCTTTTGACAAGTGGCTCCTGATTGTGCCCAGCCAGACTGTGGCATTTGGTGGCCCGTACAGGGATCGAACCCGCGACCTTGGCTTTATCA